CAGAGAGGGCATAAAGCCAGGAATTTTCAGCATCTCACTGTCTTTTTTCTTCTTCACCCAACATCTGGAAGCATGTGATGCCTCTTTTCTGTTCAGGAGCTCAAGCCATATGATCCTGTCCACCATTAAAACCATCTTTCCAAGTAGCCTCCATGTTTCCAGTGTCTTTTTCCCCACTTTCAGCTGAATCCAGAAGGACATTTCTTCCAACAGAAGAAACCATTTCCAACTAACTTGGTTAGAATTATAATTTTTATTTTGCTTACTTATTTATTCAATGTTGAAGCAATGCTTATAAATGCAGATTACATTTATAACCTCTAGTAAGAGCCTTTGATTCCATCTCCACTCGTATTACTCTAAACATTATAAAAAATAAATTTATATTTAGCCCAGTAGCCTAGTACAGTGGTTCCCAAACTTGGCAACTTTAAGACTTGTGGACTTCAACTCTGCTGGCTGGAGAATTCTGGGAGTTGAAGTCCACAAGTCTTAAAGTTGCCAAGTTTGGGAACCACTGCAATAAGCTATAGAATCTCAGATGTTTTAAGTTTGGTTCTGAATTTTGATAGGATTTTCTTTTAACCCAAAGCCCCAAAGTTTTACAGTTGTAATGTTGTGCACAATACTCACAGATATTTGCAGTGCCCTTAGGAATGGGCAGATAGGAACCTGGACTCCAAGGCCGTCCCTGATAATTCTTCTTACATTTCCCACAATCTGGGCCTGTGGTATTGTGTTCACACTCGCATAATAATTTTTTATTTTCAACTTTGCAGCCAGTGGCATGAAGATTACACTTGCACCTGATAAAAGAAAAAGCAAAGACATTAGCACACTTGGAATTTAATTTCAGTCAGTGTTGTTCTGGCTGAAATTCAGCGATTGGCAACAAATATATACAAATAACTAGTCTACATCATTAAAAAAAAACAAATTTCTCACGCTGAAATTTAACTTTGGTTAGAGCGAACAGCCCAGAACTATTTCAAACAACTTGAACAAAGGCAGTAAGAGATGTATCTATATTGTGAGTATTGAAATAACTTCAGGAAAAAGGATTAGGAAATGATTCTCTAAGTCTTGTGCTCCAATCAAAAAAAAAATTACATATATTTAACCCAACATTATTCTACCTCATTCTAAAAACTGCACATTTGACTTAATTCTAATTCTAGTCTTGTTATAAATCTTGGCCATTGGAAGTTTTATTTTTGTACATATTGTATTATGTGTGTGTTCAGGAGTAGAGACTAACAACTGTTATGGATCTGCCTCCGGACCCCTCTCCAGATGTGAATTCAGAGGAAGAAGAGCCAGATCTTGGCATCTCAGAGGAAGCAAGCACGGAGTGGCATGGGGGCTTGTATCAGGGAATCGAGGGCTTGAGCCCAACAGAGCAGCCGCAGCTGAGTTGATTGGAGTAGGCTGAACTTATTTATTTATTTATTTATTAGACTTATATACTGCTTCATAGGGCTTTCAGCCCTCTGTAAGCGGTTTACAATTTTTTTTTTAGCAAATTGAGTCAGCAACTTGCCCCCACAGTCCGGGTCCTCATTTCACCCACCTCNTATATGTATATGTATATGTATATGTGTATATATACACACACACAAACCTATTTTTAAAAATATTTGCTGAGTTTGATTGGTATCTTTTAGCTTTGCATCACTTTTGTTTGGCAATCATGGAATATCCATTTGCTGCAAGACGCAGTGCTAGGAGACATGTAAAGCTTTTGTCCCCCTCAACGTAAATATTTACGATGTGCAGATGTTGAAGGAAGGAGATAATACTATTTTTTTCTGGCTACCACAAAGCAGGCATTAAAGAAAACAGAAATAGATGTTGGAAAAATAGATTTTCAGAGACTGGACAACAAGCCAAGATGGCCTACATCTGCTCTTTATTACTTACTACCAATGCTGGAAATACTGGGCATACCTAGAAAAAAAAAAGAAGAAGAAGAAGAATATTGGTTAGGAATGGAAACATGTTGACACTAATACAGCAGAGATTTTACACGGCTGCACGGATATCAAGATAAAGAAGAAGTATCAATGCTTATTGATAAAGGACAGAATTAGCCAAAGCCAAGCATTTTGAATAATCCCTGGCTTGTGTGAAACCTATACACTATAATCTGTACTTTACACAATCATATATACAGATATTAGTACTAGATACAGAGGTATATGCAGATGTATACTCTGTATACTTGTTCACATGCAGGCTCTCTTTTTAAAAAGATTCGCATGCCTGCATAGATATCATTCACGCAGTAGTGTTCATTGGATACACAGTGAGGATGTGTGGTCCTCCTATTGCCATCATGACTCAAGTGGAGGAGGACTACACATCCTCATTGTGTATACAATGAACACTAATGCGTGAATGAGGCTTCAAGGATCTTGGTTAATAAGTTACAAAAGAAAAAGAAGCAACGCGTTTAGCAGTAATTTTATGAAGTAGCTAAATAGTTCAAAAGTGAATGATGCCTGGTGCGTTGTGTACACTCTTAGAACACGGTGGCATTTTCTCATAAGAATGGGACTAGAGTACAGTAGTTTCCTGCCCACTCTAAAGAGAAAAGGACCCAATTAAATCCTTCAAGGCCACAGAGAATAACATTCATGAAAGACAGTCTGAACATGTAAGATCAACTGGTTCATCATTCCATCTGCGAAGGCAAAAAGAATGTTCATTAAATACCAGCACAGAATAATAAAAGGACAGCTAATCCTATGTTTCAATCTAAGTATTATGTTCAGGGTGCTTTAAGAGCAAATTTACAATCACTGTGGATTTTTCATGCACCCCCATAACCTATAATTTAGCTGTGAACCTCTCCAATTTTTTTTCTTGCAGTCCTGTAACTCAGTAATAGGCAGTGGTGGGATTCAGCCAGTTCGCACCTATNATCTATCATCTATCTATCCATCCATCCATCCGTCTGCTACCCACCCACATCTCTCTCTCTCTCTCTCTCTCTCACTCTCTCCATCCATCCATCCATCCATCCATCCATCCATCCATTTATCTATGTTCCACTCACCCATCATCTATCTGTCTGTCTGTCTGCCCGCCCGCCGATCCATCCCTGTCTGCCTGCCTGCCTGCCTATCATCTATCTATTTAGAAGGCTGTGTTCATTACTGTGAAATACAGGAGATCAGAATGTGGCAAGGAATTTGGTTTTTCTTCCACAGAGTGAATTGTGAGAGAGTATTGAACCATATTCCAGTAACTCTAAAACATGAACTAGAGTTACTTTTAATGCATAAAAGATGTTGACTTTTTGAAGATACTCTTCAAAATCCTTCAACGAAAGCAAGTGATACTGATCATTCTTTTGTGTGAAGCATCCAAAATTCAAAGAAGGCAAAAGTGCATCCTTCCAGATCATCTCTGATTCAAGCTGTTAAGCTTCTCTGTTAAGGCCATAACCTGCTGATGCTCAGAGATGGCAAATGCAGTGAAAAGAAGCTCCATGAGAGTGTAAGGTGACATTACAACTACACAAATACATGCAAGACAGTAACAACAGTCAGATGCACAAGAACTATTTTACCATATATCCATTTCTGTTACTCAAGGCAATTTTGTTTGTCTCTTTATATAGGAACAATAGTATTTTCCTTCCGACTTTCTTTAGTTCTCTTCTATTTCCCCCCACCCTTCCAGATCAAGCAATGTGGCTAATTTATTCCCAGAAGTAAATAATCCAAATGTGAGCAAAGTGTCTTAAAAATATAAAAATAATGTCAGTCAGAGGGATGAAAAGCAATATATGTAGAATACTCATATTTAGTTATTCATTCATCCTTTTTGTACACAATGCATTCAAGGTGGCATTCCAAGCAAAGTTCAGCTGTGCTGACTAGGATATTTCAGATACCTTTAGGTTCCGAACCATATTTATTGGGTGGATAAATAAATCTTATTTAGTAAGATTCAGTTTTAATGCATTTTTCCCTTACAAGTTCAGTATATTTCATATTCAATTGCTTCCTGTTCTTATTTAAATTTGAGTAGATATTTAGATTCTTTATGTGTATATGTGTGTGTGTGTATATATATATATATACATGTATACGTATGTATGTATGTGTATGTATGTATGTATGTATGTATGTATGTATGTATG